TGATGATAATGAATAATAACGATGATAACAGCGATAGAAATAGATTTGATAGTGTGCTGCGCAATAGAAACAATACATGGCAAAAAATCTATAGTGGTTGTATCGAGATAATTATTAAAAAGAATGGAAAGGAAAGTAGGTCCGATCAGGTCAAAGGGCAAACGATCATCTTGGGTCATTTGCATACACATATATATGCGTATGTGTATGTGTGTGTGTGTGTTTAAACACACGCACACACACACACACACACAACGAACACACACACACACACACACACACACACAGACATAGAGGTGGCAGGAAAGATACACAATATATGTACATCATGATATACAATACAACACACACACAACACACACACACACACACACAAACACACACACACACACACACACACCACACACACACACACACACCACTCTAGTATACTATATATATATAACAAATNAGAGAGAGAGAGAGAGAGAGAGAGAGAGAGAGAGAAAGAGAGAAAGAGAGAGAGACGAGAAAGTAAATATGGGATTGGGTCAGTTTGTTGTTGAAACAAAGGTAGTAACTGGAAGATATTGATGTGATAACTGGAACGGTTGTTAGAATATCGTTGTATTTGAATGGAGTTTGTGCTGAACTGAACCTGAACTATTTCGCAGAGTTCGCGCTACTTTTGTCCATTTGCAAGAAACGGTTCGACGGACTGACATGTATAAATCTTCTCAGCGAATCTTGTTGACAAACTGGTAACATATATTTAGTTATTCAGACATATCACAATTGAAGTAAACTAATGTTACCGTTGTAACCCATCTTGTCACTAAAATAACACTATTGACACTTTTCCAAACAATAACAAACCGAGAATCACGCCTCTGAGTTTACACATCAGATCCCTGGGCGAGAACTTTAACTCCTTTCGGTTCCAGCAATACTGGATAAAAATATTCCTTAAAATCGTGACAGAAAAAGCTTTTGTGATTATGATATACCACTGCCAAAGGAAAGAAACTATTTTGAAATCATTATTTTGTATGTCAAATTGTAATTACTTGAAAATCTGAATTCAAAAGTCTTTCTCAACACTTTGCATATTGTTGACATCCATCCCATTAGTTTACTATTGATTTGTTTCATGAGTGCAGCTCATGCTAACTATTAAGCTATTCGACACAGACAACCCTAGTTTAGGTATGATATCAATAAATGTCTGCCAAATAGGAGTTCATGAATGCCTGAGAGATATATAGAAACCATGCCAAGCTCTGTAATGACGTTTAATAAGAACAGGAGTGGTCGGAAAGTCCTCAAACGTCAGTGGAGAGACAGGAGCAAGTAAGGTAGATATCGGAGCGGTGTTCACATGTTTTGTTTCTCACCTTTGTTTCTTCCGAGGACAGGAACATGGGCATACCATATCACATGATTGTTTCGGAGAATTCCGTGTGCAACATATGGGAATTAAGTCGAGAGAACGGCGGGCAGTCACCAGTTTATCCTGGGAAGTAATCGTGTTGCAAAGGTGTTCGTATTGAAAAACCCGTAAGATTTCACGTTTTCGGAATTGCCAGAACCTTCATCGTTCTGGCTGGACGCTCGTCTGCGTTGGTGTGGACGATGCAGGGAGGAGTCGGCAAGGACAGGATCTTCTGGACTTCTGTGTTGAGGGATTTGTGTAGGCTTGGAGCTTTCAGTTTTTGCATCCTAGACTTCTTGAAAAGGATCCCATGTTCTGGTAAGACCTGCTCTAAGGCCTGTAAGGCAGGACACTTTTGTCTGAAAAAAGAAAGTGAGACAGGAAAGTGTTCCTTCACTTGGGTTTATTCATTCATGAATACAAATAACAGTTGTTGGGGCAGTAGGTAGGCCTATGGCTGCACAAATGCAATCCAATTGGGATCAAGTTGAAGGGGATGCACATAACTGTTCAACCTAAATAAAGGGGGGAAATTTATTTTAACATGTCCATATAATGGATCATAATGATTTTGTTATCCTTGGATTCCTCTTACTGTCTAGTTTCTAAGTATGTAGAAATTTGTGCATGGAGACCCCCCAAACCCCCCATATTCTTGGCTCCGATAGCAGGGGAGGGCATGAAAGGTACCAGGGAAATTGTGGGGTAAAATGTAAAGAATATACACAGAATAAGTCACTATATTGTCTAATGTAGGGGGCTGTGTCTAACCCCCACCAAGGAATTCTCCACATGTTTACGGCAGGCACGAGTGTACGACCACCATGGTGGAGCGGCGTTGCCAAGTCTGGCCAACGCTCTCTCCTGCCATGTATAGGAGGATGGAGGATTCTTTGTTTTCCTGGGCAGGGGTTGGGGGGGTTGCAGGGGGCACAACCCCCTGCATCAGACAATATAGAGACTGATTCTGTGTATATCATTTACCCTGCAATTTCCCTGGTACCTTTCATGCCCTCCCTTGCTATCAGGGCCAAGAATGTGGGGGTTGGGGAGGCTTCCACATAATAAGACCTACATATATGCATTGTAGAGTGTGAGAGGAATCCAGCAATACCAAAATCGTTGTGATCCGTTATGTGGACATATTAGAAAAATTACCTAAAGGGTTCTTAACCGCATGAATTTATAGGCAGAAAAGATCATGAGGAGAAATAAGGGACGATGAAAAGAATGGGAGTTCTAAGCTGTGATCTTCATTTATATAGGCTAACAGCAGTCGTCACTTGCTCTTCATCTTTTTCCTTATTGTTTCTTAAACCATTGACATATACTGTCCTCTGTGGTTTTTGTTTAATTAATTTTGTTTATGCATAGATAGGAGCAGAGTTACTTTTTCATAAAGAATTCTATTACATATTCCCTGAATTTCTTTGGAAATAAAACTTATTGTTACTCATGTTGTTATTATTATTGTTATTATTATTAAAAAGCTATAATCAGGATAAGAACAATGAAAAGAAAAGCCTTTCTTTTGAAAGATTTATGAAATGGAATAATAGGTGATGTTAAGGAGACCTAACATTACCTAAATAAATCCAAGAGTGCATATATGATTGCACTCTTTGCTTCAGTGGATTAATCTATCATAGAACCTTTTCATTGTTGAAGCTTAACTCATATGGAACAAGGTTGTAAAGCTTTGGGTTTAGCTTCTTTCATGAAAAACTTTCACATTCTGTACTGCCAGAACTAACATGTTTGCCAAGGATAAAACATGACCATATTTGCTTTAGAAACAAAGAGAGAGAGAAAGAAAAGTTTCTCAGTATATGGCAAATGTTGCTAATTGCTTTTAGATGTGTATCTTTCCATGCTTTTATGTATTTGTCTTATAAGTTTCTTACTTTACATGATGTCCAGCAGTAGAAAGTGGGTTTGATTGATATCGGACTGGATGAACCATCATCTAGGTAGTCACTTATTAGGAAACGCAATGTAAGATCCAAAAGAAGAAAGCTATTTTTATATATTTGTTAATTATATACAAAAGGATAGTACAGAGGATAAAAAAGGTACTTTAGGGTTCATACGAAATAATATGTGGAAAGATCCAAACACCAGGTGATTCTCTGTTGCCTGTCATTTGTAGCAAGAGCATGAAGTGTAGAAGCCAAAGCATTACTTGTTGTGGTTTTATTTTTAGTGAGTTACTGGTCCCATATATTCATAGGTGTAGGAAAAGGGGGGGTCAGGGGCGCAATTCCATGTAAACAAACAACCAGTGCAATTTCTTAGTTACCCAAATTTTGAGAACACTGGCCCTTGCAACTGAGAGTGCAGCTACACCTGAGCCTGGTGTTCAAAATGGAATGACCATTATGTCAGTTATTATCTAGATAGAGATTTTGACATTTTAGTGCAGAAATTAATGACTGCACCTATTTAGAACTGCTAAAAGCTAGGAGGTCCTGTGGGTGTCCCCCACCAGAGTGATGCCCCTGGACACCACCAGGGGCCTACAGCCCCCAGGACCCTGGCTAATTTATGGAGAACATCCTTTGCCCTCTCACTCCAGAATACCTTCTTACGCCTTTGATATTAAAACTGAATGTGTCTGTTATCCCTATTATTTCTCTTGTAAAATCAAAAACATTTCCTATGATTTGAAATATGATCTATATTCCAGCCATAATAATTTTTTGCAAAATATAAGAAAATGACATGTTATTACTACTATACATTTTATAGCACATGATATAACCTTAAACTAGAATTGTCATTTGTGTATTCTATATTCATTAATATAAGCAGAATTAGGTATAGGTAGGCTTTACAATAATTCTATGGAGATGTACTAATGTACATAATGCTCTGTCTGTCTGTCTGTCTGTCTCTCTCTCTCTCTCTCTCTCTCTCTCTCTCTCCCTCTCTC